TCTTGTTTCTTCATCTTGTGATAATTCTTTATGTTTTCTGGTTCATCTACTGCCTTCTCAATCCTTAGTGTTATAGCTTTTACCGACTCACTTCCTTCTCTTCTCAGATTTTCAGTGTTACCAGGCATTGCACCAATTGGTTTACTCCTCACAGCCTCTGCCAATTTTTCCACTTGATTCTTCAAGTTATTAGTGTATGCTGCTTGGTTCTGGATGAGAGTATCACTTCTTGCCATGAAATCCTTTAGCATTTTCTCCGACGAATTAAAATTGTCAGCTTGTTGTATAGGTTGTTGGTATTATTATTGTTGCTGGAATAGTGGCCTTTGCATCTGTTATGCTGGAGCATAGCTTGACCCTTGTTGTTTTGTCCAAGATGGATAATCCAAATGATGCATCCACAATACCTCAGGTTTGTTCATTCAGTCTATTGTAGAAAGTTTCCGCCTAGAGCCATTCGAGTATGCCATGGTTGGGGCATTTCTGAAGCATAGCTAAAAAAAAAAAGAGAATAAGTACAGACGCACAATACAAAAGAGGAAGGCAAAGCTAAAAAAAATATGGATGCATGTTCCTTCAACCCTTGTATACATGGGAATGGATTCGAATTTGGCAAAGTTTGGAGTCAAGCAACTAGGCCTTATGACTTTTAGTTTGAAGCTCTAAGGTTGATCGACTCGAAAAAGAAGTTCCTATCACACACACTAATATGTCCAAAAGCCATGAAGCCTTAAGAAGATGAACCCAACAAGCATTACTAAAGTTGAAGTAAGGATGATGGTTGAAGATTAACAATCACAAAAACTATGTTGTAGCAATGTTGTGACAATATGGAGAATTTCATCAATAGTCTTTGATACATAAGTTGTTATGTTGGTTAGTGAGTCTAGGGAATGTTTTTGTTGCTTGAGGACTAGCAACGTTTTAAGTTTGGAGTGTGATAACTCTACTGCAGAAAGTTATTTTTAGGCTTTATTTATATGATCTGGTGCAATATTATATTATAATTCCCTTATAATTGCATGATATTAACATTAATCTTCTCTCTTTATGTTTTGATTGAGAAATATGTTGTGTTGATATTTCATGTTATTTTGAGTGCTGAAGTAATTCACTGTCTTTGTTGTTTCTATTGCAGATCAGAGCTGTAGCTATGAATAGCAGAGCTGTAGCAATCAGGCTTAAGTGAAACAGTGCGTTAAAGGTACAAGAAGTAACTAACTTTAGAAATTCAAATCCTAACAGAAAGATAAGGACGTTGTAGCACTAGATCAAGATAAAGAAGTTGTGCATGATAAATGATAAGCACATATCACTTCCAACCCCAAGGTTCTGGCTAACAAGAAGATCAAATCAAGCTTAAGGGATAAACATCTATCTTATTCAAAGGCTAATTTTTTGGGAATAACTACTTGGAGCCCAGGTCCGCATTGCCTATTTAAAGAATAGCCTACACACATCCAAGAAAAACTTTCAAGTGGTGAACCACTTAGAGAAATTTGAGGCTCGATTGAGAGATCCAACGAAGCAAAGGGTGAGGCTAGGATCTAGTAGAGAGACCGTTGGATTCGATTGATCCTTGCACTACTCCGGTGGCTGAGATACGATGGATGGTGATGGAGCCAGTAGTTGCTGTGAGAGCAGAGCTACAACATCGTCCCTGTTTATTTTATCTTAGTTATATGAAGTCTTCATCTTTCTTTATTGTTTCTTTTTATTCAAGTATGAGCTAATTTATCGCTGATTGGGTGAAAAAGTACCCGTATTGTGATGTAATCAGTTTGTCTAAACTTTGCTATGTAATTTTCCATCAAGTTGTTTGATAAAGTGTTAATTTGTCTCAATCTTGTAAACTCTTTAAGAGAGTTGAAAGTGACATGGAGTTTGGGCTACAGAGATATAGAACAACCTGAAAAGTTATTAAACATTGTGGAATAACTAATTAAAATTAGTTAATAGTGGGTAGAGAGATCATTTACATCACAAAGAACTTGCACTTAATAGAGTATAACTATGAAGCATATATATATGGGGATTAGTACACATGAATTGTTGGTGAGAGCCCTTGCATACATAAGTGTTATGATTACTTATGTGTAGTTGCTATAGCATTGTTATTGCTTTCTGGTGAAATTATAATATTGGGAAAATTAATCCCAATCTATCTTTGAATACTTGACATCTATCTTTTATTCTGTTTTCTTAATTAATCAGTAGTTTGCATTTGTTTACTAGTTTAGTCATTAGTTAATTCTCAATTATCGTTGTTACTCCTATTACTTCACATAGAGCCGTAACTTTACTCAATCTCCGAAGGAATAATCTTAAACTCACACATCCACTCTATTACTTATGACATTTGCACTTGCGTACTTGTGTGATTGATATATAATTGGATGCGAAATTTCACAAAAAGTTTTTTGCGTTGTCGCAGGGAAAAACTTATAAAGTTAGCTTATTTGTGAAGTGATATTTGATTCTTTTTCTTTATGTTTTCAAATTTTGTAACTAGTATATGAACAATCCCCCTTACAAACTAAGAGTGTATTTTGATCCAAAACTTAAAAGAATGTTTCGAGCTAGGAAGATGCAGCAGAGACAAATCATTGCTACAACAATACCTGACATGACAACGACAATAACAGGATTTGGGGTTGACAGATGGGGACCAAATCAGGCTAAAATCTCAATCAGAGCATATGGAATGCTAACAATCTTCAATTTGCCATTGTGCAACTTGAAGTTGCATCAAGCAATTCTAAGTTTAAAACGGTTATGTTCGATATGTTGCAAACTATTGGTAAATTTAGTGGGATGCCTAGTGAAGACCCTCACCTCCACCTCAAGAATTTCGTGGACGTGGCAGACAACTTTAAGACATAGGGAGTCACATATAAGGCATTAGGACTGAAGCTATTTCCTTACTCTCTCTCCAACAAAGCCAAGGCATGGCTCAACACTTTACCATCGAATTCAATTAGAAGATGCGAGGAATTGGCTGAAAGATTCTTTATCAAATTCTTCCCTCCCACCAAGATAGCTCAATTAATGAATGATATAACAATGTTCTACCAATTTGAAGGAGGATCACTATATGAAAGTTGGAATAGATTTAAGGAATTACTATAGAGATGCCCCAATTATGGCATACAGGAATGGATCTAGATAGAGATATTCTACAATGAGCTGAATGGATAAACTATAGATATAATAGATACATCATCTGGAGAAGCCCTCTCAGACAAGACTTACATTGAAGCACGTGAGACCTTAGAGAAGATAACATATAATAATTATCAATGGTTGACAGAGAGGACAGCTGCACAGAAGAAAGCTGTAGGATTGTTGACACTTGATGTTATATCTTCTTTAGCCGCACATATATCCTCTCTGGATAATACAATAGAGACTCTCAATCTTACTGCCGATGCTAGAACACAAAAAACACAGTCAATTTATAATGTTGTAACATGTGTTTTCTGTAATGGCCCACATGTTTATGATGAGTGTCCACAAAATCCTCAATTTACTTATTTCTCAGGGAATTATAACATGAACAATCCATTTTCAAACATCTACAATTCAAGTTGGTGGAATTATCCTACTTTTTCCCATTCTCAAGGGTAACAACAAAGGTCAGCATAAGCTACAAAAGTAGAACCTCACAAACCACAATTTCAGCAGCAGCAACAACAAAGGTCAGCATAAGCTACAGAAATAGAACCTCACAAACCACCATTTCAGCCGCAGCAACAACATTATCACATTGGGGTAGTTGTTAGTCTAACCTTTAACATCAATGTAGTCTTCAAAATTCCCCAAGGGATTTGAGATTGTTAACATTGGGGTAGTCATTAGTCTAACATTTAAATCTCGAAAACTATCCTCACATTCCTTAGTCCAAACAAAAAGCTTCAATTTCCTAGAGAATTCAGTTAAATGTTGTATTGAAAAAATTTCCATATGAACATTTTGTAATATTTTGTCAATCCTAAAAAATTTATAATCTCTGTGACTTAGCAAATGACTGTTTCTCTTTTAATATTTGCGGTACTATTTGAAGATTTTTCTCGTATTCTTATTGGGTCTTAAAATAGAAGAGAATATTCTCAACAGTGACAACAACAAAGTAATCAAGGAAGAATCTAAAAATTCTAATAATATAATTTACAGATGTTATAGGTGCATTGCATGACTAGTATTAATATTATTATTAAATATAATATAACTAATCTACAATTAAACGAAAAAATCAATAAGTTTTTTTTTCTTAAAAAAAAATAAATACTGCACGCATTCCACGAGCTAAGTTTTTCTTTTTTTCTTTTAAATGATGCTAGAACGTGATGCTCGCGGCGTCCTCCCTTTAGAATATCCGTACGTTCCTTTCAGTCGCGAGTTGCTCCTCAAATCTACAATGTAATAGTATTTAATAATATAAAATATTGTACTCGCTATGTACTCTAATTTTTTTTTTTTTTGGTGAAGGGATAAGTTCTAATTAAATCACTATATTATATGTAAAATCTTACACAGACTTCATTTGTTATTATTATCACAAATGATTAAAGATATTGGAATAAGAGTTCAAGTTTTCTTATGCCCTAACATAGTAAGAGAGAAAAAAAATAGAGACAAGTTAAATATGAGTATCATATTTTATATTAAAAAAAATAAATAAATTAATTGACACGAAAAACAAATTTATACAAAAAAAAAAAAGATTTTACTTTCATGTAACACGACAGTATTATTTCCGTTGTAATAATTGTCTCATTTCTTTTTATCATTACATATTATACAAGGATAATAATATCATATATTATCTTGTTATAGCGTGACACGCGTGGGGAGCCAAACAAATTAATATAAATATATATGTAGCTTCGGTGTGGTTTCCCGAACTTGAGCTCTGAAGCTGGTGATAGGATACGATATTTATAAATTATAAAGCAGAACCCACCAATACCCGCATAGGCAGAGGCAGAGGCAGAGGAGAAATGGAAAAATCCCGAGCATTAAAAATATACTTCCTGCCATTCTTAGCACAGGGACACCTGATTCCTCTTGTTCACTTGGCTCGATTGGTGGCTTCACGAGGTCAGCAAGTGACTATCATCACTACTCCCTCCAACGCTCAAATATTTGATAAAACAATTGAGGAGGATAAAGCATTGGGCTACCACACCCGTGTTCACATCATCAAATTCCCATCCAACCAGGTTGGTCTCCCAGATGGAGTGGAGAACTTGTTTGCGGCCTCAGACAACCAAACAGCTGGCAAGATACATATGGCTGCTCATCTTATGCAGCCACAAGTCGAGGCTTTCATGAAGCAGAGCCCTCCGGATATTTTAATTCCAGACATCATGTTCACATGGAGTGAAGCTTCAGCCAAACTCCTTGGAATCCCAAGGCTCGTTTTCAATCCTATCTCCATTTTCGACGTTTGCATGATCGAAGCCATTAAGAGTCACCCAGAAGCGTTCGCTTCTGATTCAGGGCCCTATCATATCCCGGGTCTCCCACACCCACTTACCCTACCCATTAAGCCATCACCTGGCTTTGCAAGAGTCACTGAATCTCTGGTGGACGCTGAGAAGGGAAGCCACGGCGTTATTGTAAACAGCTTCGCCGAGCTTGACGTGGAATATACCGAACATTATGAGAAGCTCACCGGGCGCAAGGTGTGGCATATTGGACCTACTTCGCTCATGGTACAAAAGACAGTGCCAAGCGCAGTGGGTGATGAGTACGAGTGCCTGAGTTGGCTAACCTCCAAGACACAAGATTCTGTCGTTTACATTTGCTTTGGGAGCCTGTGCCGTTTGTCCGACGAGCAGCTTTTCGAGATAGCGAGTGGGCTTGAGTCCTCAGGGCATCAATTCCTTTGGGTTGTGCATCGGAAAAACGACGGCAAAGAAGAACAAGAATGGTTGCCAGAAGGTTTCGAAGAAAAGATGAGGAAAGAAAACAGAGGAATGATCATCAAGGGATGGGCCCCACAGCCGTTGATCTTGAATCATCCTTCCACAGGAGGGTTTCTAACTCACTGTGGATGGAACGCTGTGGCGGAAGCCATCAGTGCTGGGGTTCCAATGATCACCATGCCGGGTTTCGGCGACCAGTATTATAACGAGAAGCTGATAACTGAGGTACATGGTTTTGGGGTAGAGGTGGGCGCAGCAGAATGGAGCATATCGCCTTATGATGCTAAGAAGAAACTGGTGAGTGGGGAACGGATAGAGAAGGCTGTAAAGAGGTTAATGGATGGCGGGGAGGAAGGTAGGCAAATCAGAAGCAAAGCCAAAGAGATGCAACAGAAAGCATGGAAAGCCGTTCAAGAAGGTGGATCCTCCCACAACAGTCTCACGGTCCTCGTAGACCACCTTAACAGCCTCCTGCCCAAGCCTGCAAATTAGATCCAATTTTCATAACTTTTTTCTCCTGCTCGAGTCCTAGTGTTCATGTATTGTAACAATCAATAATAACTTTGTACCAGATCAGATCTCTGCAATAAGATATTTAGTTAAAATTTACCACAACTTTCCATCTCTGAATTTAAGTATGCGTATTGTATCAAACTGTTAATTTATGTAGTCCATCTTATATTATATTCAGTTCTAAGATGTTATTTGCAGATTAAAGTTTCCAAGTATATGGTTTTAATTTCATTTTCTCTGATCATAATACAGTCCTTTGTTATAGGTAGTCATAATTAAGCTAATTCTTGTTATTAAGTCGAATTCCAATGACCTTCATGTAAAAAATCATCAAATTCTAAGTAAAATCAACATTTCCCATGACAATTGTCAGAATAACTAGTGGCTATATACTTTTAGATCAATGATGTACCTCGTTATTCTTTTAATAATGAAATATACACAGTATAGAATATAGCTTAGTTGACAATATAAATGAGTAAAGTTTGGCAACATAATTGAGTAGAATGAGAGAGAATCTGAGTTCGATCTCCATAAAATATATCTTTGAGGGGGGAGGGGGTTTCGGTATATTAAAAGAAATAATTTGAGGCAAGTTAATTGTGTATCAAGAGAAAAGGCTAGAAGTGAAAGGAAACAAGAGAAAAATAGAGATAATTGTGTAAATTAAGTAGTTGGTAAGTTAGAAGTTAGAAGTTAGAGTTAATCTTTAAATAGACAGAGAGATAAAAAATAATGAGAATTTCCAATTTTTAGAATTAAATTGATAAATTGATAAATTTTATATCTATGTAGCTAAATTGGCAAAAAGTCTATCTTTAAAGGATCAAAATAAAATTTTATTTGAAGAAACTATATTTTATTTGATAGTAAAGGGTTGAATTATTTCTTCTATACATATTCTTTAGAATATGTTATATTAGTTTGCAAGAATTTATATTTATTTTCATTACTGTACGAAACATTTATATATGTGCTAAAAATATAAAAATTAAAAAATCATTTTGACAAATTTATGATGCATGTTTTATGCACAATCCTAATGGATACAAATAAAAATATTTATACTGAACAAGTAACTAAAATATTGTTGCTTTCGCAATGCATAATTTTTTTAGTAAAAAGGTATAATTATATATATTTTTAAATTAATTAATTGTTTTAAAATCAAATCATGGTGCATTCCACATGTATAAGTCTAATTTTTAACATTATCATAAATGTTATTAAGTCAAATTTTATCATATCATATAAAATCTAAATTAAAAATAAAATTATTATAATGCATAAATATTACCTAATGAGTATAACTTAGTTGATAATACAGACTGAATAATGTGGGAAGAAAAATCTAAGTTCGATTCACATCAAATACGTCTTTAGATAGAAAGATGTGTTTTAAATGTGATTAAGCCCCAACTTGCAATTAATCTCATAGTCAATCAAAAGAGTTAAAACTATTCGAAAATCGAGTCACCTTAAAGAAATAATTATGATCGAATATTAAAAAAAAAATTGCGTGACTGTGAGAATTTTTTCGGGGCTTCTTGTTATAATGTCTCTAAATTTAAACCTGAAGTATTCATGGGTCAAGTTGGTTCAAGTTTAGAGTAAATAAAAGTTCAAATCAATGAAATATAGAGATTAATTAATATTTTTTATATTGTAGAAAATAAAATTATATCCTACACATATATAAAAATATGTAAGATATATATAAAGTGTGAAGAAAAGAAAAGAAAAAATCTTATTTATATATGATAATAGATAAAATATCTCCATAGAAGTATAAATCCCTCAAATATAACCGGTTCAGTTTGGTTCATGTTGGAGCCTGCCACGCTATATGCGAGGAAGTCGTGGCGTCATGCTTTTGTGCTTTTTTAATATACAAGACAAGATGTATGAGTTAGAAGTCTTATCTTCAATTTTGATCATTAATTCACTTGTATACAATAATTCTGATCCTATTATATAATATAACTGTTCAAAAATATCGCTGTTATTATATTATATTGATAAAAAAAGAGTTGCGTGGCTCTCGTGGCCGTGGGAGGCATTATATTATGATATTCGGAGCAGCTCAGCATTCTTATTATATGCCGGTCTCTGGCTCTGGAGCACATAGTTGAATCATGGGAGCATTAGGAATATCATCACCGAGTTTAACGCCAACTACAATAGCTATTAGCACTGTGATTGCTACGGTGCTAATATGGTGGTTTTGGAGTGCACTGAACTGGGTATGGTTGAGACCAAAGAGGATAGAGAGGCGTCTGAAGCAGCAGGGTCTCCAAGGCAATTCATACCGCCCTTTGGTTGGAGACATCAGAGATATGGTTAAAATGATAAAGGAAGCAAAATCCAAAACCATGGATCCTCAGTCTAACGAGATTGCATCCCGTGTATTGCCTTTCGTTGTCCACACCATTGCTAAATACGGTCAGCTAGCCACTCACTTGTTTTTCTTTTATTGTTTGAACTTGGAAGAAATTACTATCTTCGTGTGTTCGACTATGTTTTTTAATATTTTAGTTCTTTTAATGTCATTATTTTGTCTCAAGTCCTTTTTCAAATCTGACTATAATATTAATACAGGGAAGAATTCATTTATGTGGCTTGGTCCCAGACCAAGGCTATTCATCATGGATCCAGACAAAATCAAAGAAATCGCTAATAAGGTCTATGAATTTCAAAAGCCCGACACAAGTCCACTTTTCAAGCTTCTCGCATCAGGTTTTGCGAATTATGATGGCGACAAGTGGGCTAAACACAGAAAGATCGTCAGTCCAGCATTCAATGTAGAGAAATTGAAGGTTAGTTTGTTTATTTTTTATTTTTATTTTTTATTTTTTTTTGTCTCTTCGTCATTGTATCAAAGCACTTATAAATCTGTATTCTATCTCATACAATGACCTATGTTGGCATGCAAGCAGGTCAAATAAACAAAAGGAATTGGCTACATAACATCTAGTTGTTGTTTGCTCCTTTCATATGTATGAGAATTGAGAAGTCTCAGTTAATATTCCTTATATGGATTATCTTCTAGCAATTAATTATGATCGGTGTTTTTGTAATCATGTCGAAGTGAACATTCTTATTTCCTTGAAATTTTGATTGATGTTTTGCACTCTACTAAGGTCGGTATTTATGACTCTTGAAATTTTCCACAGTTCTTGGTACCGATATTTTGCCAGTGTTGCGATGATATGATCAGCAAATGGGAGAGTGTATTATCTTCATCTAATGGGTCATGTGAGTTGGATGTATGGCCTTTCATCCAAAACGTGTCAAGCGACGTCCTCGCTCGTGCAGGCTTTGGAAGTAGCTTTGAGGAAGGAAAAAAAGTATTCCAACTTCAAAGGGAAATGCTTCAACTTACAATGACACTCTTTAAGTTTGCTTTCCTTCCTGGGTACAGGTAAGACTACACTGTATGCAGCTCAAATTTTTTGTTTTGATGCATAAAGCATATTCAGTTATAGGAGAAATTTCATACCCGAGAAACACATTAAGATAAATTTGTAGAAAGATTTGTTTCAGTATCTATCAGATTCAAAATTAAACTAGAAAGTGGAAAGTTTGGTATCTCAAATTTGGGACACAGCTTTTGTGTGTGTGTGTTAGTACTCAAGTTTAAGAGGTATTGGTGGCCTAAATTAGCTGCCAGCGTAGAGATTTGTTTAGTGGTCTTATGATGAATGACACTTCTAATCGTGCTTATTTCGTAGGTTTCTGCCAACATATACCAACAGGAGGATGAAAGCAATTGACAAAGAAATACGAGCATCACTTATGGGTATCATCAACCGAAGATTAAAAGCAATGAGAGCGGGGGAGCCTACTAATAATGACTTGTTAGGCATACTTCTGGAATCGAATTACAAGGAATCTGAAAAGAATAATGGTGGAGGAATGAGTTTAAGGGAAGTAGTCGAAGAAGTCAAGCTATTTTATTTAGCAGGCCAGGAAGCCAATGCAGAATTGCTGGTTTGGACTATGTTATTATTAAGCAAACATCCTGATTGGCAGGCAAAGGCGAGGGAGGAGGTTTTCAAAGTGTTCGGTAATGAAAAGCCAGATTATGATAAGCTAGGTCAACTTAAAATTGTAAGTTTCACATAATTAATGGCTTGACTTCATTTGATAATTAACAACATATGATTATTTTGGTGCTAATTTTCACCCTAACCACTCTTCATCAAACAGGTGTCAATGATTCTCCAGGAGAGTCTCAGATTATATCCACCAGTAGTTATGTTCGCTCGATATCTTCGTAAAGATGCGAAACTTGGAGACCTTACAATTCCTGCAGGAGTGGAGCTTATAGTACCCGTGTCAATGCTACACCAGGATAAGGAGTTTTGGGGCGATGATGCCCCGGAGTTCAAACCAGAAAGATTCTCTGAAGGAGTCTCAAAGGCAACAAAAGGCAAAGTTTCATACATGCCATTTGGATGGGGTCCTCGACTCTGCATAGGACAAAACTTTGGCTTGTTAGAAGCAAAAATAGCCATTTCCATGATCCTGCGACATTTCTCCTTCGAGCTTTCCCCGTCCTATGCTCATGCTCCGTCCTTTATTATTACTCTTCAGCCTGAGCGGGGGGCTCATCTCATTTTACATAAACTGTAGAGTGCAGTTTAGTCTTAGCAAATAAATTAGGCTTCTTTATTTGAAACCTGTGTGCATGGTAAGGCGTCTGTTGCGTTAATTTCGCTACTCCTGCTACTGTGTTATGGAGATGATAAATTTGAACCTCTACGTTACTGAAGTGTATTTCATCATTTGTTCATGGTTTTGGAGGTTAGGGTTTTAACTTTTGGGGTTAGGCCTATGCAGTGTTAGTTTTTGGAGTTCTTAATTTAGTGTTTGTGGTTTAAGGTTCATGATTTGGAGTTCGCACTTTGGGGGTTTAACATTTGGGATAAATGCAGGGTTTGTGGTAAAGGTTTGAGGTTTAGTTCAATGGTTTGGAATTTGGGATTTAAGAAAAAAGATATTAATACATTATTTCATCATTTATCATAATATAAAAATTATATTACACTATATAAGAAAATACTTAAGGGAAAATAGTACAATAATATTAAGGATTATATCCTAAATTAGTCTTCCAAATTTATAATATCAGTGTTATTAAATCCGACCCGGACATCGATCCGGTCGAGGTACTGGGTTACTGGTCGGACCGGTGGGTCACTGGTCGAACCGGTTAACCCGGATATATATAAATATATAAAAATATATAAGTATGAACATATAAATTCAATTATATTCTCCATATCTAAAATGAATTAAACAAGATTCACTAAATATGCTAAAAAACATGAAGCATAAATAAATAAAAATGCACGCTATTACTATGTCAATTTAAATCGTAACTAGATTACCAAAAAAAAAATAAAAAAATTTGTAACTCAGAATCTCCATAAACATACTTTTCAATAAACATTGAACTCATATTTTTCAATTCAACTACATTAAAATGACATATATCACATTCTCTTAATTTATTTTTCAGCAAATTACTTCAGTATTGGAAGCTAAAATTTGAGGTCACTGTAGAAGAGTATACTAGCAAATAAAATTACAAAAAGTTTTTAAAATGAGTTCTACATTTTTTTCTACAAGATGAAACAATTTTGGTTTTTTGGTTTTTATTTTAAATGCATGACCCGACCGGGTCATTGAGTTTGGCTGATTTTGTACTGGTTTTGACCAAGTTTGACCGAGTCAATGTATGACCGGTCCAATGCTTGACCCGAACCGGTCTAATGATCGGTTCACTAGGTCCCGGGTCAACTCGGCCGAGTTGGGCCGGATTTTATAACACTGATATCACTACAATAGTCTTCTAATATTATTTTTGCATCAAATAAGTCTCTCAAATATCTACAACGTCACTACCTTCATGTGGAGGACTAAAATATTGAGTCAGATGAATTTAATAATTATTTAATATCTATGAAGAGCTCATTTAGTGACAAGAGTAATGTACCTTAGTTAACGTTAGAAAACTGAATAGATAAGGATAAGAGCATGTATTCGATCCTTTTCAATACCGTTTTTAAGAGAGGTTTAAAACCTTAATCTTGAAACATGCCCCAAATCAGACTAGTCGCAAAGCGATAAATCAATTGAAATATCTCAAAAAAAAAAAAAACTAACGTAGCCACACGTTAATATTTGAATTATCAATTTAAGGATTTATTCTAATTTTAATCACCTAATACCATAACAGAAAAAATACTTATTAGATAATTAAGAATAGATGTCTTCGTGGAATGTACATAGTTCATGTTCCACAAGTATTAGGTGAACAAATCTTAAGCTAGAATCTAGAAGGATATACCTGAACAAAAATATCTTTTTAAGAGTATAATATTACGAAATTTACATGACCTCAAGTAGAAACTGGTTACCCTTCGAAATTCACGCGCCTACTCTCGATGAATGTCTGACGAAATTTCTCAAACCTTCCATCTTGGATTGCTTCTCTTATTACATGAAAGAACCTCAAATAGTGGTGTGTATTATGGCTGCAAAATTCAGTATAACACTATCAATACTTATATACCTTAACTATTAATATAACTATAGCTGTTACTGTCACAATCATCTTCACAATTATTTGTAATAGTATTATTGCTACTATAATTTGAAGCAAAACAAGTCATACATTTCTAGCAGAATTTGTGCCAGCATTTCATGAACATTGAATAGGTGATTGATGTATGCCTTAGTATGATTCTGGCATGTATAGCAGGTGCAGTTTCCTAAAATGGGGGACATATCTTTCCTGCATGAAAACACAAGCAGAGAAATGAGTAAGTGGTGTTTGGTTATTTTTTGTTTTCATTTTTAGATCATATCTTTTCACTAACAATTACAAAAATGTCACACATTGCTTTCATTTTGTTTCCTTTTTACAAGATTTTGTAAAGGAAATGGTGAAAATAACAAAAAGTTGTTTTCTCCATTTCACTCACAAACTCTTGAAAACCATGAAATAGAATGAAAACAAGACGCCATTTTTGTAATTAATAATTAAAGATATCAAAATAGAAAACAAACCAAACACCTAACATTTTCAAGAATAATGATAAAACAACATAGTAATACAAGAGTGATCTTCACATGGGCTCAAGTTTGTGTTCATTAGCATCAACATTGGAGTTGAATTAAATATCTGATAACAATATTTTTTTCTTTTTCTTTTTTAGATAAAATGATTTCTGATTTTAGTTAGTTCCACATTTCAAAATGGCAATAAAATAGTTATAATTGTATCTAAACATACTAGATAAGGAGTCAGGAGATGGAGATCATAATATAATTGTGTGGTTATAAACTTGAGCGTATGAGAACAAAATCCGTACAATAAATCTGACATAAAAAAAAAAGTGCCATAGTGACTTCATATATGGATGGCCCAAATACTTCGAGGGGTCTATTTCTCTTACCGAAATTCTCCCTCAAACATTGCATGTCTCCTTCCTCCCCACTCCCCACCCATATATTCTCACTCCCCTCAACCGAATTCGCTTCCCTCTTTCTCTATAAATGGTTACAACTACCCTCAACGGATCTAACATAGACCTGTTCAGTGAATAATCAACATGCATCATGTTCCTCAAACCATACCCCATGTCAAGAGGTGTTCTACTATACAATATAGGTTATATCGTATTAAAAAGGAATCTAAAGCAACTACCACAATTATGACACCTGCAAAATTGAAACTGTAACTCAGAACTTAATCAAATGTTGCAACAGACTGACAAGAAAAAAAGAGTGAACAGAATCAATTTAGACAAAAAAGGCTGCTGCATATTGGAAAAGTCCTTTAAACAAAAAATTAGATTGATTGAAAACAAAAACTAAATAGCACCCATTCACCTCTAAGTTTAGTAAAATCTAAGTAAGCTACTGACTAAGATTTCAAAGAGCAATATTGACATTGTCAAATTCAGAAAAGAGCAAAAAGCAGTCAAATTTATCCTGTTACCTATAAACTGTTGCTCTCAAATTAATTTTAGTCAAGTCACTTCCAATCTGGCTTCTCTGAAAATTATATTGATTCCCACTCTTGTCTAGTGAAAAGGTTAGCGCAAATCCTCCAATTGTGAGGGTATAAATGTACCTATGAACCATCACAAAAACCATGACACAATACACTGAGGATAATACTGATATCGAGCAAATGGAGTGTGGAATTAGCTACAAACTTTGAATCAAAAAGATCAATTCCAGCAGCAATTCCTTGCAAGATCTCCTCTGCAAAGTTAAAATCAGTTTTTAAGTGCAACAAATTTGTATTTATTCCAATTTAATCAAGAAACAATCTATTTTAAGATCAAAGATGATTTCTATAGCTTAGCATAGAAGCAAGTGAATAAAACGATAACAATGAGATATTTACCAACTCAACAGAATCAACATCTGTGATTTAACCATGTCTTGATGACTTTATGTTCATAATCATGTAAGTGTGAGAGAAGTATGAAATAAAAACCACTAATGTGGTCTTCGCTTGATAGCTTAAACTAGGTTTAAACAAATAGTTCTTTGAATGATATCAAAGCCTCTATGACCAAAGTGATCACGAGTTCAATCCTCACTATCCCATTTTCAAATATTGTGGAGTTTCTTAGCACAGGTAGGTGGACCTGTTCTTTGTCCATCCGGCAAATCCAATAAACTCTTGTGTGAGAGAGCATATTAGAGAAATATAATATAAAATCATTAATGAACTCTTATTTTATATTTCTCTAATATGTCCTCTCAAACAAGAACCCATTGGACATAAAGTGTGGACAAAGCATAGATGCACCTCCCTATGCTAAGCAACTCCACAACATTTAATTATTTAATATTAGAAAACGGGGGCGTTAAGGATTGAACTAGTGACTACTTGGTCACAAAAGCTCTTATACCGTGTAAAGAACCATTTCGACCAAAAAGCTTAAACTGTTAAGTAAAGAGCATATTAATGGTTTTTATATATTATTTCTCCAACAATATGTCAAGTTGTTGCTTCCATTGGAAATTTCATAACATGTATAAATTCAAAATCAATTAATCATCCGCCAAAATAAGTAGAATGATTAAGGTCAATGAACTAATTCTTTCTCCTTTTGATAAGGACAAAAATTAATTAGGGAAGAGAAAGAAAGAAAGTACAGGAGCAAAGGATAAAATAACCCACATAACATGAAAAAGGAAAAAAATCCATTGAGCAAAGCAGGCAAATGAACACGTAGAATTAAATAGTTAAACCATGTACCTGGGAGTCCAAGCCCACAAATCATGCGTGGCTTTTCATTTGGTAAGACATCCTGCGAATAAGGTGAATTGTTATATCAAAAGTTATACATTTGCCAAAGACAAACTCTCCCAAAAGTTTAAGTTATTTGGAGAGGGTCTGTGAATGGTTTTATATCTTATACACCCTCTCATACAAGAGCCTTTTAGCCCTTGTGCTGCCCTCTCATACAAGAGCCTTTTAGCCCTTGTGCTGCCCTCTCATACAAGAGCCTTTTAGCCCTTGTGCTGAAATTTAACTTCTTTTATTAGAAAAATAGGGGCAATAATAGCAGTGTGCTTAGTCAGCACTACTGCGCTTCAGTTTT